AGACCCGACCTAGTGGGATTTCACTGGGTTGTTGTTGTTGTTGTTGTTGTTGTATATAGTAGTAATAAAAGAAAAAATATTTCCAAAAGAGCTTGACAACAGTGACTTCCAACCAATTATTGACAGTATGAACAACAAGCTTTCTGGTTAGAAGATGAAGTTCTTCAACATGGCTAGCAGAACTATGCTAGCTAGAGCTTCTCTAGAAAGCATCCCCTTCCACATTATGTAGTACATCAAAATCCCTGCAAAAAGTCCACAACTCTAAAAATAGAAATCGAAGGAACTTTATTTGAGGTACTACTGCTGAAAAGAAAAGAGAAAAGCTTACATGGTAAACTGAACATGTTCACAAGCTCTAAAGAAAAAATAAGGTATCTAAAAAAGAGATATTAAGAATAGGGTCCTTCATATCAGCATCTACTAGAGAAACTACCACAATCCTGAAAACATGTGGAGTACTATTCTTATCAATAAATACTCTAAGCCTAAACCCAATAGGAGAGTTAAGAACGTCTCCAGAACATGGGGGGTCTCTCTTGGATGGATGGAGGGATAGGAAAGATGGTCACAGATGGGTGGTCCATAAGAGAATTAGAGTCAACTTCTTTAATGACATCCAACTCCCCCACTAGAGCACTATTAGAAGTATGATTCGGGGTCCCCTACTAAGGGAGGAAGATAACCTTAAGATAAGTGACTTTAATAGAAATGGACTCTGGCACCTCTCTGGGTTATCCATATCCCTTCCTGACCACCTTATAGCTTGGATTGTCAACACTCGCCACCTCCACCCCAATAAAACTAAAGAAGACCAGCTAGTTTGGGGTCTCACAACTAATAGAAGGTTCTCTACTAACAGTGCATATATCTTTATCCACGTTAATATTGTCGAAGGACATCAAGTCAGCAACACACACAACTTTAAATGGATCTAGAGAATCTAACGCCCTAACAAGATCAAGAACTTCCTCTGGCTCATGAACCATACCAGACATCCTACAACTAAATACCTCCATAGACTAGGCATTAATATTAACCAAGATTGTCACTTAGACATTACTCATATCTTCTTTAAGTGTGCTAATCCCTCTGACTTCTGAGCTAAGGTTACCTGCAATAACACTCATGCCTGCATTTTTCATACGTTCAACCTTTCCATTGAAATTTGGAAGAATCTTTGAAATCCTCTTTAGAGGGAAACCCTATAATGTTATGCTCTCTTGGAACTTCATGCTTCTCTTTTATTTTTTTTGGAACATTTGGTTTTAAAGGAATAACAACTTTTTAAATGAAAGGAAAAGGAACACCTCATTCAACCTAGCACTCTTCCAATTTACTGAGTACCACCTCGACCAAACTCCCATCCCTAAAGGACAACCATATACAATCCTTGTCAAATGGAACTCCGCTCCTCTTGAGACTTACATGCTTAACACTGATGGTTCTGTCATGTTCAGCCCTGGTATTGGCGGAGTTATTAGAAACCATAGAGGGGATTGGACCCTGGATTCAATGTCAAGGCCCCTCACATGAATTCCATATGGAAGAGCTCAAAGCCTTACAAGGCTCATGCTAGCTATTAAGTACAATCCCCCCCCCCCCATTGAAATCAATCTCGACTCTCTAGAAGTCATAAATATGCAAAATCATGATAATATGCATTCTGCTAACATTCTTGTGGAGTGCAGATCTCAAATGCAATTAGGAGCATCAGCACCAACCCACGTCATTAGAGAGCAGAATTGAGTGACTGATCTATTGAGCAAAGGAGTGAATTACCCAGTCTTTTGTAACCCCTACTATTTTGATAGTTCCACCAATATATGCAGCCAAAGCAACGTGTGTGGAACTATGTACAATAGGAAACTACCTATTTGTGATAGCTACTTATTAAGCCATTCAATGGTTGAGACTTCAACTTATCCTGCTATACAAAGCATGGCCTCTTTCCACAAATATTTATGTCATTTTAACCAAAAAAAAAAAGGGAAAATACATAAAAAAAACCCCTGAACTTGGCACGAAAACTTACGTTAATATTTCAACTACACGGGTGTTTATATACCCCCTAATCTCATTTAAAGTGAATAAATATCCCCCTTAATGCTGACGTGGCATAAAGAAAATAGTCAAGCGCGTTTAAAAAATTGGTCCCACTAATATATGTATTATATAATTAAAAAGGAAAAAAAAATCACCCACCCAGCCACCCCTACTTTCATCTTCTCCAAACCCACCCACCCCCAATCCCCTTTATCTTCTTTTGCAAAACCCCCCAGCCCTTTTCACTTATTTTGAACCCCTTATCTCGCCCCTTTCTCCTTCTTCGAACACCCCCATTGTACCCTATCTCACCTACATCATAATCTCCATCTCTTTTTTTTAATTTAATTTTCAGATCTACTAAAGAGAGAAAAATCATTAAACTTCGTTCCGTTCAAACTTGAGATTTCTATCAAACAAAAGAAAATTTCATTAACACATTTTTATGATTTCAAAAATTATGATTGTCGTATGTCATGGAAAATTCTGAAGATGGAATATTGGAAAGGATTGTTGTTTTTTTTTTTTACTTAAAAGGGTCGAATTCATCTACATTTTCAGTTGATTTATTTGTCCTCAAATACCAAAGAGAGCAGTAAATCGGTAAAAAATTCAATGTAGGTCCATATTTGTTGCAATATCACATCAATGGATATTGATAGAAAATGTATGAGAATTTTCTCAAAAGAAATTGGTGAATTGTTAGAAGATATTGAGGTTGAAAATAGAGAAGTCATTAGTGAAAATTAATGATAATCAAGCAAGAACTGAGAAAACACTAATGGAGGTGGAAGGTAGTGCATCCATTGGAGAGAGAAGGGAAAAAAATTAAATTCTAAAAATTGATTTCTGACATGGGAGAGAGAAGAAGAAGGGAAGGAAAAAACACAAATTTTTAAAACTGATTTCCAACACGATTCTAATGTGGCAATGATGTGGCGTTGATATGGCAATGACTTGGCGCGTGTGTAATATACTTGCCATTGTGAGACTGATTTTGTATTCTTAGGGTGGTATTTATTCACTTTAAATGAGATTAGGGGGTATATAAACACCCGTGTAGTTGAAGTACTAAAGTAAGTTTTCGTGCCAAGTTCAGGGGTTTTTTTATGTATTTAAAAAAAACTTAACAGAGGTGAAATATATTTGAATTATTTAGATAATGATAGAGTAATTTTAGATTAATAGTATAACGAAGGATAAAATTGATCTTTTTATCATTGTAAAAAAATAAAATTTGACCATTTTTGCTTTTCTAAGTATAACTTTAACTGTCAAAGCTTTTAAGTAAATTTAAAAGGTTAGATATCCTATTTAGATACACTCAATTCATTAGTTGCTAAGTCACATTGCTTGATACTCAACAAAAAAAATTATATAATCACAAGTGATTTATTATCAGGCATGAGGTGAATCGAGATTGCTACTTTTGGAAATAATTTCTCTTATTACTATTATATACAAGGAAGAATATCCACTTTTGCAGTCTACACATTAATTTTCTTGTCCTTTTTATTAAAAAAGAAATTCGTAAGACCTTGAATATTTGATAAATTTTAAGAACTTTAAAAGAAATTGTATGCTACTAGAAATTATGTTGTCATGAAAAAGGAAATAATGATCCTACAAAGTACATTCGTATATTAAGTCTTTATTTTATATGAAAATATTACTAAACTTGTTACAAATAATATTTTACCTTAAGACATTATTGTAAGGAAAAACCTAATGCATGTCAGGATCTTAGACAAAATAATTTACTGAGAGGCGTTATAGAAACATACCTAAAGACATTATCGTAGAAATCACTTCCCACGATAATGTATTCAGGTATGTTTCTATAATGCCTCGTAGTAAATTATATTGTATAAGATCCTAATGTGCATTAAGTTTATGCTTACAATAATGTCTTAAGGTAAATTATTATTTGTAACAAGTTAAGTAATCTCAATATACAAATATACTTTGTAGGATCAATATTACCTTTTTCATGACAACATCATTTTTAGTAGCATATAAAAAGTCCTTAAAGTTCTTAAAATTTATCAAATATGCATGGTCTTACAAATTTCAATTTGAATAAAAAAAACAAGAAAATTCATGTGCAAACTACAAAACTAGATATTCTTCCTTATATATAGTAGTAATAAAAGAAGAAATATTTCCAAAAGTTGCAATTTTGATCCACCTCATGACTGATAATAAAATCACTCTTGATTACATATAAATATAGTAATAATTTTTTAATGAGTATCAAATAATGTAAATTAACAACTAATGAAGTGAGTGTATCTATGCACTATCATGATTCAAATTCAAACAAAGATATAAATAGAATATCTAATCTTTTAAATTTACTTAAAAACCTTGACAGTTAAAGTCATAGTTATAAGAGAAAAATGGTCAAATTTGATAAAAGGTTCACTAGTACATTATTTTTTAGAATTGAAAATAATATTTATATATTCCTAACTGGTACTTCAACATTTACATATATAATATTAAGCACCAATTGCATTAACCTTCATATATATTGGGGTGTTTGAACTTCCTCATTCAATGGTTGTCTGCTAAATAAGTTTCTACACCAATTGTCTCTTCAACATATTTGTATTTAATTTTTGTTCTTATTTATTTCAAGTATTTAATTTTTGTTATTGTAGTCTATTTAATAAAAAATTGTAAATGAAAATATTTTTGGCATAAGTACTCACATGTTATACCCCATATGATTTGGTTTCTAAAAATTTATGTTCTATTGGGCATAAAAATTTAGTTGCTAGAAAGGAAAAACTTAGAAGATCTATATATTTTTAATAGTTTCTTAATGAAAGTGTTACGTAGAAAACCACTTGCCTCATAGCAGACACACATTCTACTAGCCTTCTGCTTTGTAGCACGCCATTTCTTCATCAACTTATCCAAACCAGTTATGTCACTGCACACTCCTTTGAATCCATAGATTTTGGAAAGCACCGAGTATAATGCAGGATGGTCGTGCTCTAATGTGTAGATTCCATTTGCTGCAATCTCTCCGAGCTCTAGACATGAGTGCAAGCCACATGCTCCTAGCAATGCTCCCAGACCTGATACCACTCTTCAGCATCCTCTCAAACTCCTGCATTGCACTCTCTGCAAGCCCATGTCTTGCATAACCTCCAATGATCGAATTCCTTGTAGGGATTGACTCAAAAATTGCAGAAAGCAACTTCAGTGTCTCCACATTTAGCGTACATGTCAACAAGGGAGGTCAACAAGACGACATCAAGAGGGAAACCAGACTTCAAGATGCACGCAAAAACTTGATTGCCTACCAGAACAGCAGAGTAGCCTGCACAGGCATCTAAAACAGTTGAAAATGTAAAATGATTAGGATGAGAACTCGAGTTCAATATCAACTTAAACAATTTCAAAGCCTTCATAACTCTCCATATTACACATACCCTCTTATCATTGCTATCCAAGAAACCACATCTTTCTCACTCATCTCATCAAAAAACGAATCGACCTTCATTAAGCTTCTTGTTCTCAATATACTCATTGATCAAAGTACTCCAAGTAAAAAAAAATCTCATAGGCGAAGCCAAGATTAAGAGTTTGGAGTTCTAAAAGAGAGGGAGGGTGGTTCGGATTAAAGGGGGTTCGAACCCACTACTCTAGCGTTTCACAGTCACTTCTTTACCATTGAACCGTGTTCACAAGTTAATATACATATATATTATCTAATAAAAATACACGGTCTACCGAAAAGCTACTAGGTCTGATCAAAAGCCCTTTGTGACTCACTTGTGCACCCAAACTTCATATAACCCAAAATTAACACATTCCACAGCATAACATCTTTGTCCAAAATTTCATCAAAAAATCGACCTAAACCTCTGTAATCATCCAAATCAACATAATCCCTCATCAAATAAATTGAGACTTATCCCCAAACAGAGCACGAGACCATGAAGCTGAGGGATTAAATGCTTGAAATCAAAAATGCAAGGAGGAGCTAACACATACCGTGAAAGTGAGCTCATTGGTCACATGTCTCCACATCTGCTCATATCTAGAAAACATCTGTATACTTTCTCCGGGTTGTTAGCGTTGCGCTACCGGGAGAGCATGGTGTTCCAAGAAATGACATCTCTGTGAGGCATTTGGTCGAACAGGTACTCTGCTTGTTGGATGTGGCTGTGTTTGAAGCAACCAGCAATAAAGGTATTCCATGATACGACGTTTGTCAAGTGAGGACTTTGATCGAAGAGCTTCCAAGCTTCTCGGAGGTTTTCATTTCCGATGAAGCTGTTGAGGGTGGAAATTTGGCGGCGAAGAGCAAAGGTGAGCAGCGCCGTCATTTGACTCTTGTAGCCGCGATCTTATATTCCCTCCGTTTCTATTTATAGGTCACTGTTTTAGGTTTCAGGTTTTTAGAAACTAGGTAAGTTTATTTACTCTAATTTAGTGTTATCTTTAGAGTTGTCAAAAATTGTCAGCCCAGCCCACTCGGTCCAAACATCGCGGGTCAGGAAATTTGATGGGCTAGGACGGGTCGGTCCTTTATTTGGAAGGGCCTGAAAATGCTCAACTCAACACAACCCTAAAAAGGCCACGGGATTTGTCTATGTATCCAAGATACATATGATTCACAAAGATAGAGTGTATCTAGAACAAATTAACATAATTTTGAGTACATGTATCCCGAGATACATGTATCTGGACGTCCAAAATCTGATAAAATTCGTAATATTATAACATAACGTGCCTTTTAAGTAATTATTCCATACACTAGAGAGATTTCTTTAAGTTACCCTTAAATAAATAGTTTTGGTTTATGGGCTGACCCCGAGCCGATCTTGATGAAGCCTCAAGGGTCAAAGGCTTATAAACCCTAGTTTTAAATGAACTTGAAAATCCTATCTCAACCCTACCCCCAACAGGTTGGGTTGGGCCGACTCCATGGGTTAAGCCGACTCCATGGGTTAAGCCCATTTTGATGGCTCCAGTTATCTTGAAGTCAAGTTTTCAATAGATAAATATAAATTAATTAATTTTGATTAATTAAATTAACTTGAACATGAATTAATTATTTAATTTTCCTATGTTTGGTCAAATTCATATTTTTAAGCTAATAACTCTCAAGGGTAAATAAGAAAAATAATGTCATTATTGGTTTTGTGAAATGACAAATATTAAAGAACATTTATTTTTAGTAAAGACGACATATAAATAAAAACGAAGAAAATACAATTTATCTTATAGGTTACTATTCTATTTTATACTCCATCTATTCCTTTTTAATTGTCATATATACTAAAAGTAGTTGTCATTTAAATAATCAAAAGAGAACTAATTTTTTTTCCCAACTTTGTCCTTGATGTAACGTTAATTATTTTAGAATCGAGAGGCACATATATAGATAAAGATTAAAAAATTAATAAGGAATATATTCATCAAACAACACTCTTTATTAATTTTTTCTCAAAAATTGTGTCAAACCTTATGATATAACAACTAAAAAGGAACAGCAAAAGTTTACCTCCTTACTAACTACCTGATTAAAAAAAAAGTTAAATTACAACAAAAGTGTGATAAATATTTTCACAAAAGGAGTAATATTATTAAATTACGATAAAAATGTCGATCACACGTACATATAAAGTATGCAGGAGTTTTTATGACCTTCTAATTAACTCACTCTTTTGGTATTATTTACCATTATTACTCACTCACTAATTACCTGATTAAAAAGTAAATTAATTCATTCTTGAATCACAAACTAAAATACATCTTGCATCATGACTTTCAAGGATAGTAAATCAAACATTTAACTCTTTAATTTCCCCCCATAAATTTACCCTAAATTGTGCCTCATTTATTCTTTTTCCACATTTCCATAAACAAATTCCTTGTTTTTAGAAGACTCCTTTTTTTTGTTAGTCTTGTAATAGAAAGTTTTATGATCATACGAAAAAAGTTATACAGTAGACAAACGTTTGTGTTAATTATGTACTACGTACATGCATGGAAAAAAATTGACGCGATGGGTGCGCATGCATATATATATACACTATAATAAAGGTGAAAGAGAATTCATAGTTAAAGTTTATACGATGAGTTTTTATAATAATTTCAAGTAAATATTACAATAATAATTATCTAATTGGGTTCACCAATTAAATAATTATAGATTTTTTTTGTAAGTTCTTATATATATACAAAATTATTGAGTTCACGTATACTCGTAATCAGAGCCAAAGGTCCATTTCATCCAAACTTGGCATTTCTGCACTTGCCCAATAATTGTGACAGTAATACTGATCATCCTCATCATGAGATGAATAATTATAAAGTGTCATATCTGAAGGGGTTGAAAAATCATGAGAAATATTAATTCCATCTTCAAAACTAGACAAGTTGTTCCAAATATTGCTATCATCTTTTGTTACGAATGAATCTGTTGATGAGATGATATTAACGTTTGGACATGTATTCATATTGTTTGGAGAATAATTCTCTGTCACGATTAATTCAGAAGAAGATGATGATGATGAAGAAGAAGTCGATATTTGTTGAGCCAGCAGAGAAGGCATCCATTGATAGAGAAGGAAGTGTTGAAAATGTTGACTATTGATTTCGCAATGAAGCTCTTTTGCATGCTTTTGCACTTTGGTTCTCCAGTAATTCTTAACATCGTTATCGCTTCTTCCAGGCAAATTTTCTGCTATCTTTGACCATCTATTTTTTTGTTAAAAAAAACAAAATAATTATTATTTTATGAGTTCAACTTTTACAAAAATATATGTAACCATACGCATAATTGTGATGCTCATCATATACCTCCCATGGTTGAAAAGCCATTGACCATATCTTTGACTATTTTTTCTTTCTTTTTTTGTTTAAAAAAAAAACAAAATAATTGTTATTTATATATGAGTTCAACCTTTTATAAAATATAATCATTTCATTTGTCTCAGTTTATATGACATATTATATATATAGTTTACTTACCTATTTCCAAAGCGAAAATGAAGGAGTAGAATAAGGAGCTGCTCTTGAGGAGTTATTTTTCCTCGTCGTAAATTTGGCTGCAAATAATTCAGCCATCTTAGTCTACAACTCCTACCGCTACGCTGCAACCCTATATTGATATATATACGTAATTATTTTTTGATGAAAGAAACAAAATGATATATATATATATTGTATACATACTTCATTTGCATGCAATATGTAGGAAATGATAATATATGTTTAAATTAAATTAGATGAGATGATCAATCACCTACACTATGATATGGCATCAGCAGGCTCATGATGATCAAATTAAAAAGAAAATGAAGAGGCATACCAACACATGAGAGACGTATTGATGAAATATATAATATGATTAAGTAAATAAATGTGTGATCTCTCAACATGACATATACCAGCAACGTGAGCAAGTGAATCCCAGCGTCCTTGTCCAAATAGGGAGATGGAATGGATGAGTTTAGAGTCTTCATCGGGACTCCAAGGTCCTTTCTTCATCTCCATTGATACTTGTTCCATTCTCAAGACTCGAATATTGTTATGGATCGTTGTTTCAATTAGCTAAGGGACTATATATAAGTACATAGAAAGTGTCCTTGGCCATGAAAGTCTTTTTTAATTGGTTTGAGAGGTAGTGATTTTAAAAGTTTGAGATAAGGTTGCATAAAAAGAGAGGATTGTGTACGTTCGTTAGTACTACTACGTACTAGCTAGTAGACGTGAATATAACGAAATGTTTTGGAAGAATAAAAAACGAATAATCTGTGTAATGTTTTCAAATCGTCTCTTGTAACTTATTTTGTATATTTTGCGATTAGTAGGCATGTCACGCAACTTTTCTACATATATTATGGAACTTGTAACTTGAGAAAACATATATATATATATATATATATATATATATTGACTTCATGTTTAAAGTTTGTAGGTATTTGATTCGATATTTTGTAGTCTTATGTTAAAGGAATTAGGAATTTGTTTAATTTGGTAGTGCTAAAGTCAAACCGCATTTACCACTAGAAGGATGCCAATTAATGCCTTTATTCCCTTACCACTCCAAAATCACCCTAAGCAAGCAAGGTTTAAATCTAATCCCACACTTTTTTAACCTATTAACTTTAAATTCTGAATCTAGACAACGTTTTAACCATAGAATTGTATATCAATCAGTTCGGTTCGATTTTGAAGTTTATCAATTTAACTTATGAGTTATTGATTTGTAAACTTGTTAAAACCGTTATAGAACCATTAAAATATTGATTTCGATCACTATCAGTTCGATTATTGGTTCAACCGTTAATATTTGAAAAATTAGCATTAAAAGTCACTTAGAAACAAGATGACAAGCCAAATGAACCATACACATGAGTTGATAGATTGCATCTTGAGCAAAACTACAAAAGCAAACACTGACACATTCTAGAATAACTGAGAGTTTGAGACGACTAGAAATTAAAGGATGTCAAGTACTTTATATACTGAATAATATAAATATGTATCGATTAATCTATTAAAAAAAAACTTCAAACCACTAAAAACATGTAACTCGATAATAAAAAAATTAGAACTATTACTAAAACCACTAAATCAATAATTCATTATCGATAAATCATAAAATTCAAAATCCGACTAGCAAATCTATGGTGTATATGTTTGAATTCAAAGATTCTTAACCCACCAAAAAAAAAAGAGGTTCCTTCATTGACAAGATCACTTGCTGCTGAGAAGGCCAGCAGGATTATTGACGTAACACAATGCTTACAAAATTCCAACAAATGGTGGGTTTGGGGGAGAATCAAATGACCAGAGGTGAAACAATTACAACTATTTTCTACCATTTCTATTTGTCACTATTATAATTAGGATTGTGTACAGTTCGATTTTGAAGTTTATCGGTTTAACTTATCGATTATCGGTTTGTAATATGCTAAATCGTTACAGAACCATTAAGATATTGACTTATCGTCAGATTTATTAAACTTTATCGGTTCGGTTATTGATTTAACCGTTAAGATTTGACACAAAAAAAAAAAATCATTAGAAATCACTTAGAAACAAGGTGATAAGCCAAATGAACCATGCACATGAGTTGATAGATTGCGTCTTGTGCAAAACTGCAAAAGCAAACACTGATACAATGTAGAATAATCGATAGTTTGAAACAACTAGAAATATAAGTATATGAAACTAAGCTCTAAGTCAAGTACTTTATATACCAAATGATATAAATATACTATCGTGTTATAAATATAAAAATATTACTAAAATCACTAAACCAATAACCTATTATTGATAAATCATAAAATTAAACTTTCAAAATTCCAACAAATGGTGGGTTTGGCGGAGAATCAAATGACCAGAGAT